GGGCTCGGTCCACCGGCGAGGGCCGCTCGGTGAGTACCTGCGGCCCCCGCGCTCTCCAGTGCGCCCTCTTGCCGCCTCTTTCCCTCCCTCACCGGGGCCTCACCCTCAGGGGCGCCTCTGACCAACGGGCAGGGTCCGCTCGACGCTGAGTCGGGCCTCTGGGGACGCCGGGGGCTCCTTGGGACACGAGATGGTGCCTCCTTACGCCGAGGTGGGCCCTTCGAGACGCCCGTGGGCTTCCGCCCTAGGGTGCCGGGCCCACCCCCTCACCCCTTCTCACCCCGGGGCCTTCATCTTCCCGAGCGTCCCCCTCGGCACTTCTTGCCCTCCGCTGAAGGGCTCTGCTCCCCGCCCGCCGCCCAAAGACGTCTTCCTCGGGCGGAACCCCGGGGGGAGGCTGCGTTCCGCCGCCTCCCGGAGCGAGGGTAACGGCCGCTCCGCCGCCGCCTTCTCGCGCCCCTCCCTCCGTCGGGCAGCCGCTTTGTCGGGGCGCGATGCTTGCGTTCACTAGTTACTTTGCCGGAAAAAAAGATTTTCTTTGGAAATCCTTACCACTTACGACTTTCCCCTCTAGCAAAGCTGGTGAGTCTCGCCTCTGTACGACTGCAGACAGTGCTTCAAGCCTTTTGCACATACGCATTTGTTTAATCTTCACGAATAGGTGCGGGACCATTCTCTTCGCTTTACAATGATCAAGGACATCTCGAAGTGGTAGAGTTGGTTTTGATTCCAGGCAGCTTGACTCCAATGTTCTTGTATGTCATACTGAGATATAAGTAACACCCAGGAAAAAGTGGAAGTTTTATGTTCTGGCTTTATTTTTTTCTGTCAGGGAGGAGGCAGTGCTTTGTAGTTCAATCAAGTGCCTTTTGGAATCAGACACATCGTTCTTCAATTCTCAGCATAGCCAATGACCAACTTAACAACTGATTTTGAATAAGTTTCCTAACGTGTAAAATAGTGATAAAAATAGTTTATAAAAATAGTAGTAAAATAAAGATACCTATCACAGTTATTGGGAAGAATAATCGTTATAATGCATGTGAAGTACCTAGAGCAGTGTACCAAGGACTCAATAAATAACTACAATTTAATTATTACTCAAAATGTGTCTTGTTACACACTTGTCCTAAACTGAGGCTGAGTGTGAACTGGGAAATAAAGCATCAGGGTGCGTGTGTGTGTGTATGTGTGTGTGTGTGTGTGTAGGCGTAGTTGTGTATTTACCTTCTCTTTTTAAATTGGAGAAACAGACTGATGTGGTCAGTTGATAAAGAGCTGGGTACCAAAATTTCATTGAATAGTGACTTATTTGGGGTAAGTCAATCATAAAGTAATGTTAAGGTTCCCCTATGCCCTCAAGCTTTTGAAGCAATTTTCACAGGTTTGGTAGGTAGAATGTTAAGATTTTAAGTTATCTTGTCAGTGATCGTTCTTCAGATAGATCAAGATGATGGATGTGCTGAAAGGAAAAGACAAATAATATCCCAAATTGGAGATTTTCAATGACACTGTCAAAATGCTATCTGTGAAATAAGTTTCATTATTTGGTCACCTTTCCCGCTTTTGCATTCTTTTAGAGACATTTTATTCCTGTCATATTATGAAGAGGCTGTTGGCATCCAGACTCTACTCCTTCGCAGATGCTTATTGGTATTTCATTCTGTAGTCTCAGTTCAAGTAATTGAAGATAAGCCATTACTTTAGTGAGTTTTTCTTTTTGAAGGGTAAAAACTGAAATAAATAGTTGATTATATGCTAGCTTGCTTGTTTAAATTGGCTGGGCAGTGACCTTTTTTACTCTTAGAATTACTTTAGAAATAGTGTGGCTAAATCTCATGAAGCACTGGAATTTTGGAATCTGTATCTGTGTGATGCCTCTCCTTAACACTTCTTATTGATCTCTTATCTGCTATGATTCTTTGAAAATCCACTTTGGGCCCGCAGGTGGTTCTATCCTAGGGAGAGGGGTTTTTATTTATTTACAAATGTAAGAAATTATGTACATATATTTGGTGGTGTAGCTACCGTTGCTATCAGATTTGAGTATATTGGTTTAAATAACTCTAGGATACAGAAAACATTTAATAACATGGAAACTATTCCATATAAAATGTTTTCCCATGCTAATCCCCACTTCTAAGTCCTACTCTCAAATTCAAGGGTAACTGTAAGTCTTATTATCCTCCATATAGCTTTCTTCAACCTATAATAATTTTATTCTCTGTGCCTTTATGTAGCATTTAATAATTTTAATATATACTTTATGCTATTTATGAAAGCAAATATTTATGTGTGCATACTATCCGTACATTATGGAGAAGTTCTGGTTAGGAGAGGTATAAAGATTAAGTCATGAATTATTTGAGTTAGATTTTGGAATCAAGAGACACGTGCAAGTGCCTGCTTTGTGACTTTGGGCGAGTTACTTCTCTGAACCTATTACTTTAGAAGTAGTGTTACTACTTAATAATCATGGTTACTGATTTCCGTCGTGGCCAAGCTGTGTCGCAATGGAAATGGGACGCGCTGGCCAAACGTCTCCCCAGAGTTCCCGGCGGCCGAGGCTGCGGAGGAGACAGCAGCTGGGAGGTGGGGACTGCCCGTAATGGAAGAAATTGATGGTGTTTTTATACACCAATAAGGAACTCTCAGAGAAACTAAAAAAAACAATCCCATTTACTATTGCAACAAAAAGTAAAGATGCCTAAGAGTAAACTTAACCCAGGAGATAAAACACCTGAACTCAGAAAACTGCAAGACAATGAAAAAAGAAATAGAGGAAGATATAAACAAATGGAAGCCTATACCATGTTCATGGATTGGAAGAATTAACATCATTAAAATGTCTATACTACCTGAAGCAATCTATAGATTCAACACAATCCCTATTAAGATACCAACAGCATATTCCACAGATCTAGAACAAATACTCCAAAAGTGTATATGGAGCCAAAAAAGACCCCAGTAGCCACAGCAATCTTGAGAAAGAAGAACAAAGTAGGAGAGATCACAGTACTGGATATCAAGTAATTCTTCAAAGCGACTGTAATCAAAACAGACATATAGATCAATGGAACAGAAAAGAGAACCCAGAAATCAATGCAAGCCATTATGCTCAATTAATATTTGACAAAGGAGAAAAGAGCATACAATGGAGTAAAGACAGTGTCTTCATAAATGGTGTGGAGAAAATTGGACAGGTACATGCAAAAAAATGAAACTATACCACCAGCTTACACCATACACAAAAATAAACTCAAAGTGGATAAAAGACTTATATGTAAGTCGTGAAATCATAAAAATCCTAGAAGAAACCATAGGCAGCAAAATCTCAGACATCTCTTGTAGCAATATGTTTACCGAGAAGGTGACATTTGAGCAAGGTCCTGAGAATATCTGAGGGAAGAGAATTTTAGGCAAAAGAACAGTAAGTCCAGGAGTCCTTGGCAGGATCATGCCTGGCATGTGTGAAAACAGCATAGAAGCTAATGTAGAGGGAGTGACCAGTAGGGTGATAGAAGATACGAACAGAAAAAGATGTGGGAATGGAGAAATGCAGATAGTGCAGGGCCTTGTAGGTCATTTTAAAGACTTTGGTTTTATTCTGATCAACATGGGAAGCTGTTGGGAGAAATTGCCCTCCATGGGTTTCTTGCACTCCTGTGTGTCTTGCTAAGTTTGCCCAGAATGCAAGGCCCTGACCCCTCTTTGCCCAGGCTATTTCTCAGAATCGTGCTTATAATGAGTAACCTTGAGGGATAAAGTGATATCTTTCTCNGAATCGTGCTTATAATGAGTAACCTTGAGGGATAAAGTGATATCTTCAGGACAAAAAGAAGGCTTGCTTAGTGCTTGCTATAAAATGGTGGGTTTCTTGAGCACAGTGTTCCTCTCCTGTAATGCAATGCGTTGTATATACACATGATCATTTTCTCATGGAATTTGAAGGTTATGTGAAACTTGATAAAATATGCTGATGTTTATGCTACTTGCCAGGCTATGAGTAATAAAGTCTTTGTTTTGGGGAAAAAAAATAATTATGGTTACTAAAGTTTTTATGAGGATCAAATAAAATATTAATTCACACATATTATTCAAAACTTTTAAAAAAGTATTGTTTAATATAGTGAAGTGAACCAGTCTCAACTGTATTGCTCAGTGTGCACATCCATGTAACTACCACCCAAATCAAGATACAGAACATTTCCAGCATTCTACAAGGCTCCTTTGTGCCCCTTCCCAGTTAGTACTCTTCAAAGGTAGCCAGTGTTTGACTTGGTCACCATAGGTTAATTTTTTTTTAACAGCTTTATTGAGATACAATTTGTACATCATACAATTCACTCAAGTGTACAATTCAGTGGCTTTTAGTATTTTCACAGAGTTGTATAACCATCACAACACTCTACTTTAGAACATTTTCATCACCCCAAAGAGAAACTCCATGCTCCTAAGCCATCAATACCCAGTCCCACTCAGCCCTAAGGAATCACTAATCTTTCTGTCCCTATAGATTTTCTAATCTGGGTAGTTCATGTAAATGGAACCATACAATATGTGTTCCTTTGGGGCAGGCTTTTTTCATGTAGCATGATGTTTTCAAGCTTATTCCATATTGTTGCATGTATCAGTACTTAATTCTTTTTTATTGCGGAATAACCTGTAATATGAATACATCACATTTTATTTATTCATCACATTTTATTTATCAGTTGATGGACATTTGGTTTGTTTCTAGTTTAGGGCTCTCATGAATAATGCTGCTATGTACATTTGTGTACAAGTTTTTGTGTGGACATAAGTTTTAATGTCTTTTGGTTATTTACCTAGGAGTGAAATTGCTATGTTGAATGGTAACTCTAATTTTAGCATTTTGAGGAACTGCTAAACTGTTTTCCAAAGAAGCTTCATTATTTTACATATTCACCAGCAGTTTATGAAGGTTCAATTTCTCTTCATTCTTTTTTTTTTTTTTTTAATAAATTTTTATTGATATCAGATAAAGGAAGGGAGAGGGAGAGAGAGA